CCCCAAAACCCCAAAACCCCAAAACCCCAAAACCCCTCTGCATCTCTAATTAGCTGATTGATACAGAAGTAATTAGATAAGATTAAGCTTGATAAATCCAGAAAGATATTTAGATATTCTAATGCAGATTCAGTGTCCTGCACAGCATCCCTTCTTTTCAGCGGCCTTGAAGAATACTGATTCAATCTCAACTTTTCCTCCTTTAGGAAGAGCCTTGATTGCAATACAGGTTCTGGCTGGATATTCAGCTGAATAGTATTTCTTGTAGACTTCATTAACTTTGGCAAAGTCAGCCATATCCACTAAATAAACTACGTTTTTCACAGTATCTTGAAGAGTCATTCCATTATCCTCAGCGAGAGCCTTCAAATTCTTGATTACTTGATGAGCTTGCTCCTCGACGTCATCACTGATGAGTTCATTGGTCTTGGGATCTAGACCAAGTTGGCCTGATGAGTAAGCCATGGAGCTACCATCTTGGAGCTTGATCAATTTACCCTTTGAATATGGTCCAATTGCAGCTGGCATATTATCTGAATTCATAGTAACAACTTCAGATTGTTGTCTGTTTCTCATCCATTTACCTCTTCTATGTTTGAACATTACATTTCTTGCTGCCATAGCGAGGAAAAGGGAGGCAACTCCACCAATGACACCAGCAATAAAGTGATCCTTTGAAATTTCCATTTAGATTAATAATTATTATTTTAATCACAAATTAATCTAGATATTACTTTATTTAACATCTCACTTTCTGGTAGGTTTTAAGTTCTATACTGCTTCACATTCTATTTCTATTAAACCTTGAGGTAATGGTAATTTAACCGCTCCAACATAAGCCACAGGAGGCGCTGATTAATGAGATTCAAAAAACTCCTCATATACTCTATGTACAATATCTATATCAGTTTCGATATTCTTTATGAATACTCTCACCCTCACTATATCCTCCATAGTACATTAATTACTCTAAAGTAAAATTTTTATATTTTCCATAGTTTTTCTTGTTTATCCCTCAATATCAAAATGCTCAAACTAAAATGTCTCGGTGTGATTAGCCATCATTCCAGAACAAAAGGTCATTATACTTAACTTAGAAAGATGAAATTACTTTCCTAACGAAAAGGGAAATGGAATGGGTGCGAAATTTGATGACTTTATAGTTATTAATTGATTTTTCTCAGCAATATAACTCTTTTCCTTTTTATGAAATTTTTTAATACTTATTACTATAGCCCCAGCTAAGATAAAACTAGTGAATCCACCAAGGATAGCACTCACGATTTATTATTAATTCTCCATTTAAAAAAGGTTTTAAATTATAAATAATTAATTTAACTTGTTTCAATAAAGATCAGTTTGTAAAGCTTTATATATTCATTGCTTTGAATGCTCCTCTTCGAACTTTTCTCCTTCATTCTGTAAAATTCCAAGTTGGTCTCTAAGGTCTTTGATGTAACTTTCTAAAAATTCAATTTTCTACTCGTCAAACTTTGTACTCTTAATGAGTTAATTATATTTTTTATCCTAAAACAATTCGTGAGCGGAGGCCATTTCAAAATCGCTTTTGTAGATTAGATAATAAAGTGCTCCAACAGTTGCATAAAAAGCAGCTAAATAAAATGATGATGTGAATTAACTTACAAACCATATATGTCACTGGTTCCATTACCTCCCAAGAAAATTTAATGAAAATTAAGTATCCCATACCACCAAGTTGAGCTGCAGCCATCGAGAAGGCTCCATAAAGGACCATAGAGGCGTACTTATATGAGCGTAGGTGCAATTGCTTTTGTTTATCCTTGAGGTCACCAAGTTCTTTTTCAGCATTTTTTAGTTGTTCAAGAGGATTTTCATAGATTTATGATTTGTATGACTTAACGTAGTCATCAAGTCCCTATTGAAGAGCTTTTTCGATTTCCTATTGGTTCAAAGCCTTGTTTGTGCCTTGAAGATTCTTAATGATTGAAGCAAAATAGTGATACAAGATAACTCTTCTTGAAATAGGAATCGACTTGCCATTGAAAACTTAATCAATGATCTTTTGAGAATCTCCAGATACGTTTTTATCAACCATTGTTTCAAAAAGTGGATAAACATCATATCTGTTTTAGTTCACTTACATCTAAAACTTTCTCTTTAGCAATTCTTCAATCTTCTAGTCTGGTACTTCTTCATTTTCTTGAGTGTGAAGTTTAAAACTTTTCAGTCCAGTTTCTTATTTGACCTTAGCTTCAAATTACGCCACTGTTTCATCATCAAGTAAACTAAAGTCATATTTAATTTAGTTATTAACTGGTATTCTAATCTTTGGAGGTTTTTAACTTGATATCTATATAGAAGTACCTCTCAATTTGGGAAAGGTAGAAAATTGCTTTAAATTCTAGTTAAGAAGTTGCTAATTGAAAAGTCTTCTAAGATATAGCTAAGTCAAGGAAGAAGTGAACATTTTTAAGCTAGTATTATAAATATTCTAAATAAATTTATCAACTATTCTATAAATTGATATATTTCTGATTTAACTTATTTTAAATATCACGGGGTTTTGGGGTTTTGGGGTTTTGGGG